AGTGCCTGGAATTGGTAATGTGGGTTATATTGATTTGCCAAATATCTCGTGATACAGTGTTTGGGTGGGGGATTTTTTTGTTAAAGCACAGAGTAAAGATAGCTTTATTAAAACAGATAATATCAACATGATCCAAATTCCTACTTGCAAGGCGGGAAACCTTGGCTAATAACTTCTGTGAAGGGCTCAAACATTGGTGTCAGCCAGTGCGGGGAGCAGAGAAGAGTTTATTGCTGGATTTTAGTGCACTGAAGGTCTCTAGTGCTCTGTAGGCCAGTAGAGGTGTCTCATTTTTACCTCCTGAAAGTTTTGATCTTCATGCACCTTTTGTGCTGCTGATATACTGCTTGCAGGGGCCTGCTATTTGTATTTCCTCTATAGTTGGGAAGCACTGTAGTGATTCTCAGCTACAGAGATCTTCATTGCTTTAGTACCCTGCGAACAAACACAACAGCATATTTTAATGGTTCTTCATAAGATGTATACTTGTTAAGGGGGTGAACACTTCTGTTATTACCTAAAGGGTAGGAATTTTATTTCCTCAAAAGAAACTTCAAAACTCATGCTTGTTCTCGCTCTGGATAAACATATTTTCATTTTCAGCTTTAACATCTGGCAGGGCTTTGGAGTTATCACTTTTCTTTAATAACATGCTCATTTTAAATTGGTTAATAAGATCAAATAAACTATTAAATATAAATTTGTTTATATATTTAAGCCTATGCTTTCTTAAATGTTTCCACTAAAATTACTCATTAATTACTAGAGAGGTTAAATTTGCATTTTCCATGAGTTTTTTTTATATGGGATTGTAACTAGAAACTGATACTACTCTCTCTTCCTATTTCAGGCTAGAAGAAAAATAATCTTTCCTTTAGTGAACTGTGTTGCCTGTTCTGTTGTCCACCCTGCCCAGGGAAAATTGCTTCCAAACTGGCATTTTTACCTCCTGACCCCACATACACACTGATGTGTGATGAAAGTGGCAGTCGCTGGACTTTACATCTCTCAGAGCGAGCAGACTGGCAGTATTCTTCTAGAGAAAAAGATGCCATTGAGTGCTTCATGACTAGAACAAGTAAAGGTAACAGGATTGCCTGTATGTTTGTGCGTTGCTCACCTAACGCCAAGTATACTTTGCTCTTCTCACATGGAAATGCTGTTGACCTAGGTCAGATGAGCAGCTTTTACATAGGACTGGGTTCACGGATTAATTGCAACATATTCTCATATGATTATTCTGGATATGGTGCAAGTTCTGGGAAACCAACAGAGAAGAATCTGTACGCTGACATTGATGCTGCTTGGGTGGCTCTTAGGACAAGGTAAGATGTTACTTGCCATTTTTATTTTCCAGCATGCTTTCTGAATGGTTGTGCTCAGTCTGCATTGGCAGTTTAAATAGAAATCCTGTAGTTTATAGGATTAATGGATTCATATCAAAGCTGGTCGATGGTGTCTTATACTGAAGGCATTGTGAATATTGAGCAGGATCAATATATCTAGCTGATGTGCTAGAGAAACTGAAATGGGATGAAATTTAATAGTGTATATTTCAGTCTTGCTTAAATAATTAGAAGATATAATCCTTATCACATCTCCAAATTAAGAGATTCCAAACTGTAAGAAGAGAAACCTATAATAAATGATTCTCCATTAACTGAGCCACCAGTGTAATGTGGGTGAGAGAAAATACAAATCTGTTCTTTAGATGCCTCCATCATGTACTTTTTTTTTTTTGTAGGGATAGTGGAAAGGCTTTTACAGGAGACCCTGGTGAGACTGGGTCTGGATTTCTGTGTAGTGTTCTGGTCACCTTTGTTTCAGAATTGAGACTACCAGCTCTAGCCTTTTTAAAGATTGCTTTCCTTACAAAGCTAAAAGAGCTTTTATCCCAGCAAAATATGATGTCTGGGAGAGGTTATGGTTGATCTGCGTAAATACATTATGGTGGAAACAAAAAAAGCAGAATCTGAGTCAATGCTATTAACTCAGATTAAAACTGGACAAGAAAAAATTCCAAGCTGAAAGGCTGTTGTCTACGTTTGTGTTCTAAGCTTCTGGTTTTGGGGAGATTAAAGGGTAAGTTATAAAGGGTGTGGAGGCATTCTCTGCTACAGGTAAGAAATCTAGGTGCCAAATATATACAGCACTGAATGCCCACTTCTAGAATTTGAGAGCACTTCACCATGGTTTGTTTCACTTTAAAAAAGCTTGTTTCATTCCATGAGTGCTGAACTACAAAAATTATTTTTGAAAATGTGATCATAAGAATTTTTGTTCACCAAAAAATTCCTATGGTATTGTATATTTTATAGTACAACAGCTGTGAAAAACTGAATTTATTATTGTGCAGCTCATTATGGTTGAATCATCACAACTTGAGTATACTGTTTAATAATGTGATATCAGGGATGTGAATTAGTTGTAGGGGCATGCATAGAGATTCTGTAAATTCTGGGGCCTGGAAGTTGTCACGCTGAATTTAGAACTTGATCCATATAATTTTAACTACTACTTTATTACTTGGGATATCCCTCTTCAGTGTTTTAAATGCACATATTGTCCTGCATTTCTTTTATGTTATAAGGGTGTGATACTTTCTTATGAGAACAAGATATATTTCTTCAAATAAAAACTGGGGGAATGTTTGTAATTGTAAGCCTAATGCAGCCAGAGGGGGCAGGTATTCAGCCTCAGATGTTATACTAAAACATTTGTACTGTGCAGTTAAAATATTTTTTTGCTATTTCTCTTGAAATGCTGTCATTTGTCTGTCTGTGTGTTGCAATAGCTTCACAAGCGGTAGCCTCTAGAGTGTCTCTTCTACCTCTTCATTAGTGGAGCCTGAGTGATACTGTTGAAAATACACCTTTTTAAGGAGATTGTACTGATACCTTATTTTATTTTTGTAAAGGGAGCAAGTCATCTAGATTTACAGCAGTAGTTCAGAGGAGAGGGGGGAAAAAGTGGTCTCCATTAGATATATCAAGGACAAAATGGCATGTACTATAAGAGCCAGTGAAGTGTACTATGGTAACTTCAGCTGATATCTTGTTGCTAAAGGTGGCTAAAGTCTAGAAAACACTTGTTGCAAACTACGAAATGTCTGGCTGTATGTCAGTTATAGGAATACAAGACATCCAATAAATAGGGGGAAAAAAGAACTGTCATAAGTGTTTTCAGAAAAGCCTAGAAAGGGTCTCTTGTATCAGATGCAAAAATATAAAGGAAACAAAGGAATTTCTGCTAGAGCATGTCATCACAAAAACAATATTTTTGTGCATTTGAACGCCCCTT